ACAGAAAGCAAAAAAGCACCCCCTGGGCAGATGGCCATGCCGCAATCCCTTCTCCTACCTTCTCCTCTTGGGATCATTTTTTTTCCTTCTTCTTTCTTTTTTTGGAGAGGTTTTTGCTATAGGGTGCGTGTGCTCACCAGAAAGACAGAGAGAGACAGAAAACGAGAAATCACCCCCCCAGGGGGAATGGCCATGCCGCAATCCCCTCTCCTCCATTCTCCTGGGGGGATTGTGGGCACACACGCACATGCGCCCAGCGTGAATTTAAGCTACCGGGTTCAGGACTCGAACCACGATAAACTACATGGGAGTCCAGCGACATAGCCATTACGCTAACTGCTGGTCCCTCCTCTTGGGATCTTGAGCACACACACACACACCTCCGGCATGAGTTTAAGCCAGGACTCGAACTGTGGTCAACTACATGGGAGTCCAACAACGTAGCCATTATGCCATCTGCTGGTCCCAGAGTTTGGGAACATTTCTGTCTTTATATTCTCACCCTCACACTGTCCAGGACTTTAATGACATATGGGGGTCTGCCGTCCTCCCCTACACTGTCCCCAAGAATTCCCTTGCTGGTCAGCTCTACATCCTACCTGCTCCCTGGCAGACAGGAGGCCGCAGGCCACCATCTTAGTCTTGCACTCTTTCTTGCCAGGTCCTGATGCCAGACACAGGGCTGGTGGCCCTAGAGGCTGAAGGCCAGGAACTCCTGCTTGAGCTGGAGAAGAACCAGTGAGTACCAGGCTGGAGTGGAGGCTGGGAGCCAAGACCAGACCTCCCTCTGCAGAGGGGACCAGTACTGAGGGACAGGGACTGCTATGGACTCAAGAGGGAGGCTGGGTGAGCAGAGCGCCCTGAGGAGCTGTAGGTGACAGTGAGAGTCATACAGATCCATGGCTGGCCTCTTGTGGCTAGATCGGACTGTGGGGCTGGCCAGCCCTGCTGTGGGACACATCCCTCATCCCAGGCTCCGGAGCCGCTGTCAGCTCCCTGCTGGAGGTGAGCGAGCACCACCTAGTGGGCATTCAGGGGGTGCGCCGAGTCAGAAGAGAACCCAAGTCAGGATTCTAGATATGCGGTAGCCCTCCAGGCTGAAAAAATGGCCAGTACAGTGGATCCAAAGTCAAGGCACACTCCTGGGACTGTAATTTGCTTGCTGAGTGTCCAAGGTGGTGCAGAACAAAGATTCCGCGCTGGTGAGAGCAGGCTCAGGGTGGTGCCCGGGCTGTGCTGGGGTGGGTGTCTAAGATGAAGCGAGCCGTCTTGGAACCATCCAGACCGTGTGGTCAGCAGGTACCACTCGCCAAGAACAGTTCCATTATAGTGCTGTTCTGAGCACTGCGCCTGAATTTATTCTCTGCCTGGAGTCAGGTGGACTGGGAACACACTAGTTCCACCATGCCCGACTATAATCCTCCAGGGTTCAGCACCCCTATCCGTTAAATGGAGTGATCACAAGGCCTACTTCCTGGGCGTGTGTGTGTGTGTGTGGGGGGGGCGGTGAACTGGAGAAGGTGAAACAGTGATGGGAAAGTGAAGGAGCAGGCGTCACAGGTCTTTGGGGACAGCTAAAGAAGCCAAGATTGGGGGTCAAGTTTTTTATTTTGTTTCTCCTTTTTTTCTTTTCTTTTTCTCTATTCCTTCCTTCCTTCCTTTATTTCTTTCCTTTTTTTTTTTTTTAATAAAAGAGATTGGCTTATGATGTATCCTTCCTGGTGGAAAGGATTCTGGTGAGATGGAGCCTGAAGGTGGAATCATTACAGGAGTGGGTTCTGGAGAAGGCGGGGATGGGCATCCCTGCTCAGGTGGGCAGGGCAGGAGCAAGTGTGGACAGGCAGGGATTCTCTTTCTCTGGAAGTAAGGAGTGGGCACTGCTAAAGGCCAGGTGGGAGGCCTGTGGGGTCTAGAGGCCTGAGGAGAACATTTAAAGAATTTGGGGTGGGAAGAAGCAAGAGGGTTGACCAACAAGGTAGGCTGCAGGCAGGGACCTAGGGAGTTTACTATACTTCCCTGGTTCCAAACCCTATCTGTCTCCCCAACTCTCCCTCTGGCCTATGGATCCAGTCCTGCTACAGGCCTTACAGGGACCACAGCACCTCTTCTACTTCTGAGCCTCCCTGGTGCATCCCACACTTCCACTCTCCCACATCTGAGTCATCACGGAGGCTCCTTCCTGACCTTCCCCTTCTTCCCTCTAGTCTAAGATATTTCTGAGTTGAGCAAAGTGTAGGCTTTTGTTCCTCCCCTAAGACATACTTCTGGGTACCTGGCTCATGCAACTAGTCAAATAGCAGTCAGGAAGGAAGGCTGGAGGGCATCCTGGAGGAGGCAGAGCTGAATTTGGTGACTGCTGTAACACCCTCTCCCAGCAGGCTGCTAGCCCCGGGCTACACAGAAACCCACTACCTGCCAGATGGGCAGCCGGTGTTGCTGTTCCCCAGCCACATGGTGAGATGCTGCATGAACTCTGAAGACAGGGTGAGGAGTGTGGGAGTGCAACCCCTGAGGCAGCCCCCTACCCTACCCTAGTTCCTTCTTCCTGTTCCTGAGGAGAAGTTGGAGCCAGTTCCGCACCAGCCCCTTCTTCCTGCCCCTCCCACTTCAGCCCTGGCTGAGGTCTGAGCTGGGTCCCTTCCACTCCAGGATCATTGCCACTACCATGGAAGTGTGAGGGGCTTCCCTGGCTCCTGGGTGGGCCTCAGCACCTGCTCTGGCTTGAGGTAAGAAGTCTAGGGCAGGGGGCGGGGTCTGGGGAGAGAGCTCCCTCACACTCCCTTACCCCTCTGCACTCTAGTGGCCTGATCATGCTCAGCAGTAATGCCAGTTATTATCTGCGACCCTGGCCACCTGGGCACTCCGAGGACTTCTCAACCCACAGGATCTTCCGAATGGAGCAGCTGCTCACCTGGAGAGGGGCCTGTGGCCACAGGGACCCGGAGTACAAATGGGACACGGCCAGCCTTCCTCCTACTCCCTGGAGCCGGGTCAGGGGCATGGGGGGGGGGCAGCATCCATAGCCCCTCTAATGAGAGACCTTCCCCCTACCCCCGGGGGCAGGGTCGGGGGCAGGGGGGGGGGGCAGCATCCATAGCCCCTCTAATGAGAGAGACAGGAACACCAGGCCCCAGGATGTGAGACTTCTGTCCTGCTAATTTTTATAAGGAAGCTGAGGAAATAAGGCCTAGCAGCAATTTTAAGTGGCTCTTTCTTTTTAAGAGAGATTTTTGCTATAGAGCATGTGCTCTCCCCAGAGAGACAGAGACAGAAAGCAAGAAATCACCCCCCAGAGGAATGGCCACACTGCAATCCCTTCTCCATTTTCCTCTTGGGATCTTGGGCACACACGTACCCGGTGTGAATTTTAAGGCTCTAGTCCAGGACTCGAACCACGCTTGACTATGTAGGAGTCCAGCGATGGAACCATTATGCCATCTGCTGGTCCCTAAAGTGGCTCTTTCTGGGAACTGGAGTTGTGGTCAGGGCAGGAGCCCAGCAGCCTGCCACTCAGGGTCACTATTTGCCCCTCCACAGGAGAAGCGGGAGGCCAGCCAGACCCCGAGGTACCTGGAGCTGTACCTAGTGGCCGACCACACCCTGGTGAGGAGACCTGACGGCTGGGGGGACCGGCCAGCTCAGCCCCTCACCGGTTATTTCCGCTTTCTCAGTTCTTGACCCAGCACCAGAACTTGAACCACACCAAACAGCGTCTCCTGGAGATCGCCAACTATGTGGACCAGGTTGGGGTGACTGCAGGGCGGGCAGGTCCCAGCGGGTGGGCGAAGGGCACAGGGAGAAAAGACGGGGGCTCCTCTACCCGGGAGCACCAGGGGCAGGACGCCGGGCCCCTCCCGCGTCAGCCCCGGCCTTCAGATTCTCAGGACTCTGGACATTCGGGTGGTGCTGGCCGGCCTGGAGGTGTGGACTGAGCAGGACCAGAGCCGCGTCACGGCGGACGCCAACGCCACACTCTGGGCCTTCCTGCAGTGGCGCCGAGAGCTCTGGGCGCGGCGGCCACACGACTCAGCGCAGCTGCTCACGTGGGTGCCTCTGCCCCCGACCGGGTCCGCGGCCCGGCGCCCTGACTCCCGGGCCCACCCGGTCACGCTGCGCTCCGCCCCCAGGGGCCGCACCTTCGCGGGAGCCACCGTGGGCCTGGCGCCCGTGGAGGGCATGTGCCGCGCCGAGAGCTCTGGAGGCGTGAGCATGGTGAGCTCGGCCAGGGCGGGGGCGGGGGCGAAGTCCTGGGTCCAGGCATGGCTCGCAGCCCGCAGTGACCGCCGCCCACGCCCTCCCAGGACCACTCGGAGCTCGCCCTTGGCGCAGCA